TGTGGACTGTAGGAAGCTCCTTGAGCACAGACTCGGTGTGGAGGCTATTGGGTTGCTCTGGTTTGCAAAGGAAGCTAACACTGAAACAAAAAGAGAAGCAAAAGCAAGAGATAGATAGAGAGAGAGAACTTATAAAAGAGAAGCAGCCTTCCTCCATCTTGGTTCCGCAACTTACAAAGAAATTATAGGTTGACGTATCAGTCATTAGGGCTCCCAGGGCTTCAACTGCTCATAATTAACTTGATTAACTGCTCACAATTGAGACATAATTAAGCAGGTGTACATCTGAGGGCTTAGTATTTGGCTAAAAATACAAACCTGACAAAACACCTGTCACGTCTTTTCCTTGTCTTTCTCCTTCCTCCAGGCATGTCCCAGAGACTGAATACATTTCAGTATAGGCAACGCTTTTTCTCCAGCAAAAATTTTAAAAAGTGTTAAGTTTTTGCCCAGTGAAAATATATGGGGGTATGGAAAATTATAAAGAAGGAAATATAAATTGAATGACAGTCTTACCCTGAGGAAACCATTGTGACTCTTTGGGGTTTCCTTTGTCTCCTATACCCCTCCGCAATTGTGACCAAGCTTGAAACATCTATTGAAGTTCTGCTCATTTTTCCTATCTAGTGCACCTGGATTGACTCCTGCTGAAGTTGCCCAGGGTTAAGTGGGGTCTGACTCCAGGATGGGGTCTCAGAAGGCATTACTTAATTCAGCACTTAGTGCCACTGCAGTTGGATTTGAAGTCGAAACAGCAGGCTCTTGGGTAAAATCTGCTGTAAGTGCATGGAATTTTCAGCAATATTCTCCCAACCTTTTACTTAGAATATACTTACCACTGTTCTTGGCAATTCATTTTTTTTTTTTGGCATCATGTGCTTTCTATTTGCATTTCTTTTCTTTAAAGCATTTTCTTAATGAAACAACTTGTTCCTCAGTATGAAAGTGCTTACAGATTGAAACGTTTCCGGTTTGCAGTATAGTGTACTTTGAATCTCTGTTTTCTTTCTTTGGTTTAATTTAGCTGTTTTCAACTTATAGTTCATCAAGAGTAGTTCTGACTATGTGGAGGTTGGGGAAAATAGCAAATGTAAAAGGTGACATAAGGAAAGGAATGATGGGTCGGGGTTAAGGAAGAAGCATGGAATCTCTTTTAGAATCACATCTCATCTATTCCGTCTGGAACATGAGGATCAGGTGCAGAAGTAGAAATATGATTTTATCCATGTATTTTCAAAAGAACCACGTTAAGCAGGATTCAAGTGCCTTCGTGCCTCTGTCTGCAGTGAAATCATGCTTTAAAGCGGATTCAGCTGCATTATATTTATAACTATGTGGTTGCTACCAGATACCGGCATGTCTCCTTGCCGTGGTTCACTTCTCCGTGCTGTGTCCTAATTCCGCTGAAATGTGTGCAGGTTGGAGGAAGCAGCCAGAGTCCACCCCCAGCAACACGCACAGTACCAGCTGTGGCTTCACTGAGTCCCCTACGGTTCCCCCCACAGGGCCTCGTTCTGATATGCGGGTCTCTGTTGCAGGAAAAAGTCTCTTGTGTTGGGAATCCAAATTTCCCCTTGGCTGAGGGAAATCTCCTCTTGGGGGTCTTAATTCTACCTGGTCAGAACAAATGCACAGAAAGGAACTTAACTGTATCTGAGGCTCATTCACAAACACCAGCCAACAGTTTTCCAGTAGAAGAAAAAGGTCAGGGCCCAGCATGGTAGCCTAGTGGCTAAAGTCTTTGCATGCACCGGGATCCTATATAGGTACTGGTTCATATTCCAGCTGCTTAACTTCCCTTCCACTTCCTTTCCAGCTCCCTGCTTATGGCCTGGGAGAGCCATAGAGGACAATCCAAAGCTTTTGGGATGCTGCACCTATGTGGGAGACCTGGAAGAAGCTCCTAGCTTCAGATCAGCTCAGCTCCAATGTTGTGGTCACTTGGGGAAATGAACCAGTGGATGAAAGATCTTTCTATCTCTCCATCTCTCTGTAAATCTGACTTTCCAATATAAATCTTTTCTTAAACGGGGATGGGGGGCATTAGGCGTTGCTTCTTAGAGATTAATGTGGTAGCGCCTGGGGTAAGTGATTGGAATGCAGATCTCCAGGTCCCACTGGGAGGGTCTGATCTCATTGTTAGAAGAACCTGGAAATCTGCTTGTTAGGCTGACTCAGTCCTGCAATTTTGATACTGAAAGTTCAAAAATTGTACTTGAAGGAAAACTGGCATTCTATTTTGGGTGTCATAGCTATCCTACAACCCCAACCTTGAATACCACAAAATGATCCCATTGCCTCACACTCCTTATACCTCCAACTCTCTAGCTGTGTGTTTTGAAGCCTTAGATGTGCCCTTCAGGCTTATAGTAATCCTCCATCACTTGATAATAAGGTGCATTTAAGATAAGCACCCACTGTAGCATTCTTTTAGGGATGGCCACAGGTGAACCTGCTCCAAAAGAGTTGCAATGGACCAACTGCACCCACTGAGCTCTGGAGTAGTTATTCAGGGAGCTACCCAGGAAGCACAAACCTGGCTGCTGGACAAGGTAGCAGAATCCCAAGGTTCTCTCTGGCAGAAGGTCTTCTGCAAGCCTCCTGATGCCTCACTGAAGTGCACACAGCAGTACCCATTCCAAGTTCAGCTCAGTGGGTACTCACTTTCCACTTCATGTGCATCCCAGGCTCTTCTCACTCAGCCTATCTCCCATTTTTCACCTGTATGCACTTGCTGTCTGTCCAACTTTTGCTCAAAACACTGTGGTTACGTGTGCTTGGAGAATAAACATAATTTGAACTGTTTTGTGTACTGCACATCCACATGCAGAGATGTGCTAGAAATAATTGGCAGAGCGCGATACCAACTCTAACCATCTCACCTTGTGGGTGGAGATGTCCACTTCATGGTGTCCAAAAACCAAAGTTCAAATCCTGGCTCTGGTGGCCTGGAGCAATGGCCCATGGCTAAATCCTTGCCTTGCACATGCCAGGATCCCATATGGGTACTGGTTTGTATTCCGGCTGCTCCTCTTCTCATCCAGTCCCCGGCTTGTGGGCTGGGAAAGCAGTAGAGGATGGCCCAAAGCCTTGGGACCCTGCACCCACAAAGGAGACCCAAAGGAAGCTCCTGGCTTTAGATGGACTCAGCTCTGGCTGTTGTGGCCATTTCAGGGGAGAAACAGTGGATGGAAGATCTTTCTGTGAATCTGCCTTTCCAATAGAAAGAAAGAAATCTTTAAAAAACAAAAACAAATCTCGGCTCCACCACTTACTTACTAGCCCTCGTTTTGGCCTAAATACCCTTATTGGGATCAAAGGAGAAAGCTTGTAAAATATCCAGAGGTTAAAAGGAACTTAAAAGGAAACGCATAAACATTCAGTAACTTTTATTATATTGCTACTATGGAAGGTATATGAAAAGAAGCAGTCTTCATGTATCTCACACAGCATGTTGGGGCTTCTAAGTGCAAACTTCCAAAATCATCTTGGCCAAAATAAGCAGTTTGGAGATGAATACTGGGTGGCTCAACAGATTGCCAGGTGGGCTGGTCAGGTGCAGGAGGTGAGCTGGAACTTAAAGAGGCTTCCCAAGACAGTAGTCAAAACGCACACTTCGAGCATGGCGTCTGGTAGCTTGTCCTCGGCCGATCCTGGAGCCCGGCTGCTGTAGCCAGCCCTGCTCCTTGCATCAGCCCTGCTTCTTTGAATTCAGAAGGCTCTGATGAGAAGCCATTGTGCCTGCCCTCCAGGCCTGCAGTCTCGGGTGGCCCCAAGAGGTGGCGCTACACTTTCGAACTTCTGCAGTCAGAATCCCTCAACTCCAAGAAGAGGAGGCAGGTGCCGGCTGTCATAACGGACCTCTGTCCAGGGTCTTCTCTCCCTGCCTTTCCCGCGTTCACACCGCATTCCTGCTTCCACATTCAGCCATTCTCAACAGAGGGTCTCTCTGCTGCTGACCTGCCCTGTAGTCCCCGCCACTTCCCCACGAGTCCCCCCACTTGTTCCCAACAGCCCCAGTCTTGCCTGTTGTGCAAATCTCACCTCTGTTTGCTGGGACACTCTCACCTCGCTAGTGAAGTCTCCTCCTTTCCCTGAATTCTCCAGGCTCTTCCTTTAAGTCCCTGTACCCACATTTTGCTCCCTCTCCTGGACCAAGGTGAGACTCTCTAAGGTTCTTCGCACCGAGTATATATGTGTGTGTATATATATATATATACATACATACATTTCTCGGCTGTCTGTCAACACATACACTTCGATGCCTTTCCTACCGAGAGATAAACCATCTGAAAAATAGAAATTTTATTTATATTTATCCATTTATGAATGAGAATGTGCCTATAAACGATACCACGCGGGGGCAGAGGTCAGAGGTCAGATCTGATCAATGTTTAACTTGTGCCAGTTTTCCACCTGCACACCCTCATCCTGCCTCAGTGTCTAAACCGGAAGAAGTTTTGACACTTAGCTTTTCCAATCGGAGCCTTAGGCTCCTTGCTTATCGAAAAGGGAACCAGAACCGCGGGGCTTGGGACTGCAGATTCAAACACTGTCGTTCCGATGAGTTGGCAATCCCCTAGAAAAGAGATACCAAGTCCCCCCAGGTGGCCCGCCCTGTCATTCAGTCCCTCTCTCCCTCTCGGGGTGGGGGGCTTAGCGCCATAGCGCCCTCGGACGCCCCCTCCTCGACTCCCCAACCCACCCACATCCTTGCCAAGTCGGGTTGCTGCCCCGGGCCGCGACCCTTCTGCCTTCCCCCTCCCAGCCCCTCCACCGCTCCCGGGTTGTACTTTGTCCCTGGGCTGCGAGGGGCCGGCACGTGATGGGGAAACTTTGGCGGCGGGCGGAGGCGCGGGGAGGCGGCGCGGCGGCCGAGCTCCCCCGCGCGGCGGGCTCTGCGGCGGGGAGGCGGGGAGGAGGCGCCCGGCCCGCGCCGCTGCTGCCTGGGCGTGCGGGTGCGCCGCGGCCGGCGGGCAGTGCGCCGCGGCCGGCGGGGAATGCGCCGCCGAGCGCCTCGCCGATCGCCCAGCCCGCGCCAGCGCGCGCTCCAGACAGCGCGGCCCGGCGCCCGGCTCGGTCAGCGAGAACGGCCCGGCGGCTGGTGGGCGGCGGGCGGCGGCGCCCAGGGACGCCCGGTGCCGCTGGTGCCCGCTGATGCCCGCGGCTACCGCCCCGCCGCCGCCCGCCGCGGGGGGCTTCCGACCGGCCGTGCCTTCCAGCCGCTGCCCGCTTTGCTCACTCGCGATCTGCATGGGAAGTTGGGCGCAATGGACAGGGTCGTGTTGGCGTGGGTCGCGCTCTTTTGGCTAACGGGTAAGAGTGATTTGCTGCAGAGCCAGAACCGGGGAACTTTATATATATATTCCCTGGTGGTACCGCTCTCTCCCTACCCCCCCCCCTTTTCTCCTTATTGACTGTGTTGAAAGCTGCTTAGCGGGCTGGTGGGAGGTGGGGGAGGGGGCCGTGCGCGCGCGCGTGTGTGTGAGTGTGCTTTGGCGGGGGCGGCGGGGAGAAGCCCTATTCCAAGTGAGACGGCTGGAGAGACAGGTGTTTGACTCGCTGGCACTGAGAGGGGTTCTGGGCACGGTGTTTTCTCCCCCTCCACACTTGTGCTTCCTCCTGGGTCTTATCCTTGTGTGCCAGGCTGTGAGTCTTGGGCAAAGCCAGTCTGGGAAAAACCCCGGGCGCTCGGGGCTTATCGATTAAGAGAGCTGCTTTTCTGAAGGTGGAGGTGGGGGGAGCAGCTTCTCCCTGATTCCTTTTCCAGGGAATGAGGGAGAGAACCAGCGGCATTTTCTGTGCGGCTCCCTGGGAAAGTGCGGGAGGAGCCCTGGGAGACCGGTGGAGTGGGAAGGAAATGAGGGTGGCGGCGTAGTGGGTGGTGGACTTTGAGCCCCCCACCCCCCGGCTGTCACTTGCTGTGGCTTGGGGAGTGGTCTTACAGTTCATGAAGAGCCTTTATAAAACACGCAGCCCTGTCCCCTATAAAGATAGTTTGTAGAGCGATGCAGTGGCAGGACCCTTACCCAGCCCCGGGGTCACTGCCTAGCAGGCCCTTTGTGTCCTCCCAGCGGCGCTCTGAACTTTGTCTGCCTCCTCCCAGCATCCGGAAGGGCTGCTGTTCCCAACACGTTCCTCGTGACGATTCCGTCCCATCAAGGGACAAGTCCACCACCAACTCCCTCCCCTACTCCCTCGGAGCAGGTTGCTGAGAGGAGCGGGAGGGCCGAAGAAGGCTAGCACAGCTGGGATCAGAGGCAACAGTGTAAAGCAAGGTGCGGCAGAGGAAGGCGGGAGCGGGCGCAAGGTAGCAGAAAAGTAGTGAGAACAGGATGGCGGGTGGAGAAGGGCAGAGGAGGAAAAGGAAAATAGTGCCGAAATGGAAGACCTTCTTTTTCCTTAGAGGGCACCAGCCAAGGCAAGAAAAATGAAGTCACTGGAAAAAGAGAAAAGCCGAAATCTTGCCATTGAAAGGAGATGAAACATTTTTTAAAAGAAGGAAAGGCGCCTTGCTTCCCCAAAGCTGCAGAATCCAAAGCGGATGGCCTCAATGCTTTTCCTATTGCTTATGGAAGCCCCCCAACACTGCGTGCCCCCCCCCCGCGGTTTCTCCTGGGGAGGGGCCCTTCAGCAGAGTTAGCCTCTTATCTGGACTGTTGTGGGTTCCTCCCTCCCACATTATTCAAATATGAATCATCCCTAATTTCAGGGTTTGGTGGATCCAGGCCTCCCGGCGCCTTCCACCGCCCCCCAACCCCCCACTGCCTCTCCTAGTCCTCCCTTTGCCTTCCCTACCACCTTCTCCTGTTCCAAGGGGACTTGGGTCCTGAGCCTGTAGCCCTGGCTGGTGGCAAAGTGGAGGAGGGGACCTGGCTGAGTTATAGGTGCTTTTCCAGGCACCAAGCTCAGCGGGCATTGGCAGGAGTTGGGGGGAGGGGAGGAGGCCACACAGCCTTCACAGCGATGCTATGGGATCCTCCCACGGGAAAGGCTACAGGAATTGTGCTTCAGCCCTCCCAGTTCCTAGAGTCTCAGGGCGGTAGCATGCACGTAGCAGCAGCGACTGGATCTCAGTCCTCGGGCCCGGCTGCGCAGCCCCGCTTGCCCTCTCCTAAGCCGCCTCTCTGGAGAGTTTTGGTTTATTTGTGTTTGGAAGGAGGTGATGCTTTGTGTGCCTGCTGCCACCTGCGCCTGGAGAAGCCACTTGTGTATGCCAGGAGGCAACAGGTTAACTTGCAGATCCCTCTCAACTGCCAGATGGCTGCATGTGAGGCTGCCTCCTGAGATGCCCTGGCGTTCCCCTGGTCCCCGCCCTCTCCTCTCTCACCACCGGCCCCTGGCTCTGCAGTCAGAAGTGCCAAGGGACTCGCCGCTGCTCAGCCAGAGCCCAGTGGGGGAGCTAACAATGGCGGCCGGGTGGGGGCGGAGGAGAGAGGAGCAGTCAGGGGTGAGAGGCGCTCAGGTCCAATCTTCGCAGAGAAACCCTGGGAGGAGAGGTAAGCCGACTCAGGCCAGCTCCATCAATCCGTGAATTCTCTCTGGAGGGGTGGCAGAATGGGAGGGCGAAAGTAAAAGGCAGACTTAAAAAGGAGACCGCCGGGAAGAGAACCACATCCACTCTCCTCTCTCTTCCACTCTTTATCCCTCTTCCCTCTCCCCCCTCCCTCTGCTTCTCCTTAATTCAGGCTCAACAATCTCTAATCAACCCTTGCGGGTTTCCCTCCCCCCCGCAGGAATTAGCAACTCCTCCTTGCCGTTCCTGGCTGAAACCCCATATCTCTTTCTGCTGTATATTTAGCCCCATGATTTCTTATTGTCATTGTGATGCTGCTTCCTGTTATAGATTGGTAGTGGTGGTGGTGGTGGTGGGGGATAGTATTGCTTTGAACAAAACAAAAAACGCTTCCCAGCTGCTATTATTGTTGCAACAGGTGCCATCCAGCAGTGAGACTGCAGGCAAGGGTCACTGTGTCTTTGTTTCTGAATCTGGAGGTTGTTTCACCATCTCCCAGCAGGTAGCAGAGGCTGAGAGCAGCACCCTCCCAAGCGATGTGCTTTCTTCGAGAGACTCTTAGCTGTCTCTGTGCCCTATTGGTGTTTCTTCTGGGACCTCATTGGTTTCACTCAAGTATTTTAGTTCCATTCTGCAAACACGTATTCAACTCCTGGCACTAACAGACGTGGTCCTTGCCCTCAGAGAGTAAGGAGTCTAGTTGGTGCCTCCAACAAGCCCTCAAACAGTTTTGATCAGGTGGTCAATATGCCACACTGTTGCTATAGAGAGTCAAGGATGCACTCCTAACCCGAGCCAGGGGTGCAGATGAGCAGCTCTGAAGGAAAGTGCAGAAAGTGAAAGCTGTTAAGATGTTTACTTAGGCAGGTCAGTATGTTATCACTATGTCCTCGGCATTGTGCTACAATTAAGAACATGAATAAGGCACATCTTCTGCCTGTAGGGTACTCAGTCTGGTGGCAGAGACACTAGCTATGGAACTGTGAGCATGGTTATAGGGTAGTGTATGGGGCTGGCCTTGTGGCACATGGACTGGATTACTTCTTACATTGCTGGCATCCCATACCAGAACAGTCGTTGCAGTCCCAGCTGTTCTGCTTCGAATCCAGCTCCCTGCCGATGTGCCTAGGGAAGCAGTGGAGGATGGCTCAAATACTTGAGCCCCTGCCACCCACGTGGGAGACCTGAATGGAGTTCTAGGCACTTGGCTTTCCACTGGCCCAACCCCAGCTACTGCAGTCATTTGGAGAATGAATGAACAAATGGAATATCTCTTATTCTCTGTCTCTTTGTCACTGGGCCTTTTGAAGAAATCAGTAAATCTTCTTTTAAAGAATATTGTTATACAAGAGTAATCATAGAGTAATAAAAAATAATAATAGTGTGTTTCTAACAGCCTGAAAGGGCAGGGAGGCATTGGGGAATGGTTGTTACCATTCTGGTTTATGTTCTGGTAGACACCTGATGACGGTGTGAGGTCAGGCTTGGATAATGAGAGTGATGCTGTTACTAGTCCTGAAGAAGGAAGAGTGACTTACGGAGATTATTGACATGCCAGCTGCACGGGTCTCCTCCCCCTTCTAGTTCTTGGCCTCCTCTGCTCTGCTTTCGTCCACGAAGTGGCCATGTTCACACCAGAGCATCTTCTTACACACCTGTTCCCACTGATCACACCTCTCTCTTTGGACTAGGACAAGGAGGTTGCCTCAAGGTTTTCATCACTCCACAGTTTGAATGTCTGTTTCTGCTGGAGGGCGAGTTTGTATAGGATGGATATTAGTACTATGACAATAAGTGTAAGTACTTAGAGCTTAGTAAAATAATAGCAGTGTTAGTTACATGACATGGTTAGTGATGAAAACTCTGACCTAAGAGTTGAGGGTTGGGACCTAATTCCAGCTCCCCCATAAATAACTACACACCTATGAGAAGGTTTATATCTTTGGCTTATTATCATCTGTTGAATGAAGTGATTTATAAGGCTGTGTTCAGCTCTAAGGTTCCATGCTTCTAATTTTTCTTCATTTAATTATGAAGAGTTGGGGTGTGTGTTGTGACTCAGAAGGGTGAAACACTGCTTGGGAAACTTAGATCGCATATCAGTTTCTGGAATTGAGACCCACATCTACTTCTTATCTAGCCCTCCCTCTGCTAATGTACCTAGGAAGGCAGTAGAACATGGTCCAAGTTCTCTGGTTCCTGCTGTCCAAGTGGGTAAGCTGAATTGAGTTCCTGGCTCTTGGCTTTAGCCTAGTCCAGTCCTGGCTCCTTTTTTTCAATCAGATAAATCAAGAAAGTGGGTGGTTTTGTTTTGTTTTGTTTTGTTTTGTTTTGTTTTGTTTTTATGAACCCAAACTAGGAATAATAGCATTTTGATGCAACAGCAAGCAATCCCCAAATCTTAACAACATACATGCATTTAGCTCAGGTTCATATTATGTGAGAACTGCAGTTAGCTGTGGATTGACCAAGCTTAATTCTGTTCCAATTTTATCTCATTCTAAGATGCAAGATGAAGAGCAGCCACTGTGTTGTTCTCATGGTGGAGAGATAATGAAATAGTGCTGCAAGAGGGAGTAGTGAGGGTATAAAGCCAAACCACACAAATACCTTCAAAACTTCTGCTTAGAGGTTGGCCCAAGTATTGCCACTCAGGTGGGAGACCTGGATAGAGTTCCTGGCTTTTGCCTGGCCCAGATTTGGCTGTTACAGCTATTTGGGTAATAAACCAGTATGTGGAATTTCTCTGCTCTCTGTCTCTTTTCCTCTCTCTCTCTCTTGCTCCTTCCCTCCCTAGCTC